GTGTTACATCTTGCATGCGCTTCTCCTCTCCTCTGGCTGCTTCCTCTTTCCTTCTCCCTCATTCCTTCTCCTTTGGGGGGGTGATGTCTCCGAAGATGTGTTCCATTCTTCTTGTGTGTGCAATGTATTTGAGTGTCACTCTGATTCCTTTGCTTTCGCTTAGGAGATATTTGATGTGGAACTGGCATGGTCCTACTTCCATGCTGAGTGTGCTGCATTGTCTGACAAATTTGGGGCATACTAACAGAAAGTGGTGGACAGTTTCTTCGTGGGCATGGCATTCCTGGCATGTTGCTGATGGCACTCTAGCTATGTGGTGGAGGTGTTTGTTGAGGGCGATATGGCCAGTGCATAGTTGGAAGAGTAGCATCCTGTGCTTTCTTGGTAGGTCTATGATTTTGCTAGCGAATTTCTTGGACAGGGCCGTGTGATCAATGGAGTGGAGCTGGGTGTAGTGGGGTGATTCTTTCATGATGCTAATGGCTTTGTCTTTGATCCTGCCATAGAAATGCTGTTTGAGTGCAGATTTGCTTTGTGGGAGTGTTCTGATTGTGCTGTCTCTGGTCAAGAGTGACTTGGGGAGTTCATGCACTTCTGAGGAGTCTCCTGATGCGGCTTTCTTTGCTTCCTCGTCCACTGCCTCATTGCCAGGTATGCCTTTGTGGCCTGGTGACCACCAGATGACTAGTTTTCTGCTGTCTTTGAAGGGTAGCAGATTGCACAGGTCGTCGTGGAATATGTCTGCTAGGTGGTGGCCTGGTCTTGATTGGAATGCTGTTGTGGTGAGTATCACCGCCTGGTTGTCTATGCCTAGTGCCATTGTTCCCCCCCTGCTGCCTCCTTCCTCCTTCAACAGCTGGATTGCCAGGATCATCCCTGCCAGCTCTGCCTCGTATATGGTGTGTTCCTCATCACTTCCCAAATGTGATTGTTTCCTTCTCATCACCTCCTCTCCCCTCATTAGTACACTGCGCCTCCTACTCCCCTGTCCACTGACAATCTGTCTGAATATACCCATAGTTCTTCCATGGCAAGTGTGTTGTCTTTTACAGCTTGTTGCATTGACTCTGCAATCTGTGTGTCGACATCCAGTTCCCACTTGGGGTAGTGTCTGACCAGTTTGACCTTCTTGATGTTGGATGGGTCAATCTGAAATTCATTCATCAGTCTGTGTAAGGGTGAGGGGTATCACTTTCTCCCCTGGAACTGTCGTCTTTCGCTATATTCATATGCTTTCTTGGTTTCTTTGGCTAGTGGATGTGGTGGGAGAAGTGTAGCCATCCTTAGGGATGCTTGATAGCATGTCTTCCTTAATGCCTGCTGAAAGGGGAGTACATTAGCATGCATATCCAGAATATCAGTTGTGGTTGATCTTAGTCCTCCTGTTATCAGCAGTGTGGCTGTCCTCTGAACCCTGGCCATCTGGGATGCGAATCCCCTTGCTCCTTGGCCCCCTCCATTCTTTCCTTTGCCCTTTGCCACTAGGCCCATGCACCATATATCCACTGCATACCTCATTTTCAGGAGAATGACGCTCTCGAAAAGTCTCTTCACCAACTTGCCATGGATGCCCCTGGTGGGACGAATGATCCATCTGCATGCCATCGCATACTTTATTCCTTTTGCCATGGCATGGGCAGCGTGCTCTTTGAAATTAAGGTTTTGGTCAATTATGACTCCCAGGAACTTGTGCAATTTTGATGGTTGTATGGTGTGGTTGCAGATGGTTATAGGTGGACGGGGGGATGGGATTGACTTGTGGGGGTTGTCTGGGTCAGGGATCCATGCACTGGAGAGGCAGATTAGTGCAGTTTTGTCAAGCTTGAACTCTGTGCTGTGCTCCTTGCTCCATTCAAGAGTGCTGCCTCATTTTTCCATCATGTGTTTGAGTTTGCTGTTGGACTCCTCATATGATTTACCCCTTGCTGCGAGTGCCACATTGTCTAGGAATCCTAGGCTTAATTCTCCCTGTCTAGGGTTGGGGTCAGCTACTCTTAGCACATCTGAATTGTAGAAAACAAATCCTAGGGGCAATAGCAGGCAGCCCTGATCTACACCATCTACTACATTGAACAAGTTGGACTGGTAGTCGTCGAAAAAGAGGTATGTCGACTGGTTGTTGAGGTGTCATCTATATCAGTTGACATACTCCTGTGGGATTCCTGCTTTCCTAAGGTTGTGCATGAGCTTATTTACCACTATGCTTGGAAAGGCTGCTTTGACATCCAAGAATAGCAGTGAGACGTGATTATTTTGCGAGGCCCATGAGTTGGTGATAAACTTGGTAAGGAGGTGAAGCGAGTCCATTGTTGAGTGTCCCAGTCAGCCACTGAAGTGTGTGGCAGGGAGGAGGTTGTTCTGTTCTGTAATGTATGTCAGATCATCTGTGATGCATGATGATAAGATTTTAGCCATTGTGTCCAAGAGCATAATTGGACAATACGCCTTAGGGGTGCCATAATCTGGTTTGCCTGGCTTTCTGAGAACTATCATAGATGAGCATTTCCAATCTTTTGGGTAGACTTCTAGCATGAATGTCGCTCTGAATATTGGTCCCATGAAGGGTACTAGCTGGTCTGCGCAGCGCATAAATATGACATTGCATATGCCATTTAGACCTGGGGCCTTGAAGGGGGAGAGCTTTTTGATGGCTCAGTGGATCTGTGGATCTGTGATCAGCTTGAATTCACAAACAGGGGGGGATACTCAAAGTCAGGGTCTACATGATCATTATCTGGTGGGGGTCGGAAGAACACTTCATATAGTAGCTTGCTCTTGCGAGCATTGTCCTGTGTGGTGCCATTCTGTCCGTTCACTCTAGGATCTTGAAGTGTTTTGATTCTAGTGTGTATTTGGTCAGTGGAGGCACTTGCTACATACTTGTGAAAGGTCCAGGTTCCTGTGAGGGTGAGTCCTTCCAGCCATTCCTTCCAGTGCTCTTCCTTTGTGTTCTTGATACTTTCTGAGAAGCAATTGTGGGCCATTCTATACTCTTCATGTATTGGGTCATTCCTTCTAGCTGTTAAGTGTTTAGCTTTTCTTCCTAACTTGTTTACTTCCTTGTGTTGAACATCTAGCTCTTTAGACCACCACCTTTTTGCGTATGGGGAAGGTTTGGTCTTGGGAACCTGTTCTTTAATGGTCTTGGCAATACATTGAGTTAGGTTGGTGAAGGTGGTGTTGAACTGCTCGCGGTCAGTTAGTTTGACTGACCAAGGGATAGCATTGAGTTTGCTGGTCAGGGTGTTGTGGAATTTGTCCCAGCTGGTTTCTTGGTAGTTTAGCTTGGGTGTTGTGAGGATGTGCTCTGGCCAGAGGTCTAGTGTACTAATTATGGGGAAATGGTCAGTGATTACTGGGCGTAAGTGTTGTTCAATGCTGCATTGGCTGAATGATTGTTCTAGTTGAGCAGAGCAGAACACATTGTCTGGACAAGTGTGGTTCTTGGTATTAGATGCTTCCAGGGTTGCTAATGCTGGTGGAAGTACCTGTACTAGGTTATATAAAGATAAGAGGTTGATTAGCATGCCCACGGCGTCTAAGTTCGCCACAGTAAATAGATGTGTATTATGTGACATTTTCAGGAGTCTATTGAACTGGTTCTACCTGCATCCACCTGCATTTTGGAAGGGCCGGCACACAACTAAAGTCAGCTGGCATTCCAAATGCTGAGAAGATGGCTGTAGCCTGTGTGACAGAAGCACAGCAGCAGTGAGCAATACCTTCTTCATGGTTTTCAGCACAGATCTCACCCATGATGTGTTTGCAGTGCGATCCTTATCAGTTAGAGCATGTTGAGTGTGGTCTGCACTCTTTTTGCTCTTGTAAGTGAGAGTTGGTGGCGCTACCCCAAATGTATCCTCAACCTGCTTGTGGGACAACGTCTTATGAGAAGTATGTTCCTCCCACTTTTGCTTTAGCTTTGGCTGGAACAAGCTGCAATACTTATGGGTTAACTGGCAGATACTACTTGATTTCGATGGTGCACACCTCAACCATTCCTTCTCATCTTCAGAGAACACTTGAAGGCACTGCAATACTTCCTCCTGGTTACCACTCACTGGCCTTCCATACTGCTTGAGCTTTCCTCAGATATTGGCCTTTGTTGTTCTTCGGGTTCTGTAAGTTCAATTAATGTGTCAGTATGCTGTGCATGTCTTAGGGGCTCAAATCTACTTACACCAGGAATTGGTAGGTAACAATCAGTCTTCCAGGTGTATACTCCTGGCTGAGAATGGGTAGGCGTAGTTCTTCATCACCAGATTCCAGCATTATTTTGCCCAGAGAGTAAGGTGTGTCAAGTAGTAGCTTTCGCAGTTAAATGCAAATTGAACCAAAATGTTTCTGCATTATGTCGGAAGCATCCACATGTGAACTAGTCTAAGTCGTCTCACACCTACACTTATCACTTGCTATGTCTCTAGCTCAACTGAAGGGTGCCACTGCTTATCTTGTCGACTCTCAAGGCATTAGTATTGAAGCTGCAGCTGAAGACCAAGATGAGGAGGTAGAATCCCTCCTCAATAGCTTTGATGTTGACAATCAGGCTGCCTGTGGCACACTGCGCATCAGCACAAATGAAGCTGACACCCTGCCATCGAAACATAAGAGGACAACTGCTGCCATCCCAGCGCACCATGACCAACTGTCAGCGAGCCTTGAAACAGCCTCAGCAGGCATCATTGTTGACACCACTCTTTCAGACTATCAGTGGTACATGTCATATTCTTTCTGTAGCTCTTATTAAGGCATAGCACAGGTACTGGAACCAGTTCAAGGAATTTTGTGTAACTATAAATAAGGTCATGTCGACTGATGATGTTGATGGCCTCTATCCTGATCTTCCTGCTAACTTTCCCATGTGGATTGCACTCTGGATAATGGACAAGTAAGTCGTACTACATGGACATTGTGCTATGCATGACTGACTTGGAGCTCACAGATGCGATGAAAATGATATCTGGACTGGCAAGGCAAAGCCTCCAAATGTCCTGCATGCAATGTATGGCACCACACAGAAGATGCGAGCTGCTGTGAGCCACAAGTTTGGTCGTGACCACAAGCTTGGCACACAGCCATGGTCAGAACACCCGATGATTGCTGGAAAGTCAATTGTAAACCCATCCCTCTCAGTCATGGTCTCACAATACATGGTCAGTCTTCATCGAAGAAAGGCAAGTGTTCTGCACATCTCCCTTTGCAGCTCTGAACTAACATTATAAATTTCCAGGTATGGTCTGGTGAAGCAGTCACAAGTGCTCAAGCCATAGATGAAGTGACTATGAAGTGCCTGTGGGATTTTGTCTGGGCAACACCATGCAAGGAGTATGGAGCAACATCTTGCAAGCGAAAAGCTGAGAATCCAGCAGAGTGGGCAGGGTTCATGATCTGCAGTATGCTTCTGCTACTTTATCTGGTTTCAATGATCTGTCTCCCATGCTATGATGAGGCCCTGCAGATTACTTGGGCAGATATCACATTCCAAGTCAAGGACAAGTCAGTTGAAGGAAACTGGCTCAATGCTTCCACAGAACTATTACTCCAGGGCAAGGGCTTCCGACCTGGTGACTTCCATGTGAGACTCGAACTGCCATTCAGAAAAACACATCAATACAGAGGTGTGTTTCTTGATGCACAACATATTGCAATTGACTAACAACTGTACAGGGATAGCACCATTCTATGTATATGCTGATGAGCAATGTCCATGGATGTGCTTGGTGTGAACATTCACAGTCTGGTGGATGTTAGTGAGGGAGAGGTGCAAGAATCTTGATGGGTTCATTTTTTGGAAGAAAATTGGTACAGACAGTGTTAGTGTCAATCTGACTGATGGTATGGTGAGTTTGCCATCCTTTTCTTAGCTTGTAATTTACATAACTTAGACCTCCAATGCATTCCTTGAATGTTTCCATAACAATCTCCTGGATATTGGCGTGGACTCATGTCCTTATGGGACTCACTCCTTCTGACGAGGTGGATGTCAATTCTTATACAAGGTATGCAGATGGGACTTCAGGGACATCTGTGATTGGGGAGGATGGGCCGAAAACTTCAACAATCCAGGTACAATATTCAAGTACCTGCTGTCATGGAATGACAATCCTCGGGAGAAGCGAGAGCACTATATGAATCCTAACAGGCTGATGAAGGACCCTTGCCATGCTTGTGGTAGAACCTGTCATTGTGCTTAAGACTATACTAATACATGGTAGATTTCAATGAATTGGAGAGTAGATAAATGACAAATGGTCAGAGAGTAAGGTGGATGATTTTGGTGTCCCCACTTTCACCTGTGAGATCAATAGTACCACCTGCCATGTCCCCTTCATCTAGCATGAGGTTGATGATATCCACAGAAGACATGGTAGCCAAGGAGGCAGTGGGAGTAGATGGTTGGGAAGCATGGCCCTGGTGTGGTCTGAGGTCAATTGAATCATTCACATGAGCATTTGAAGGTCCTGGAGACAGCAGGACCATCGTTTGTACCCAGCAGTCATAGATCCGGTCTGCAAGCCACACCCGAAGATACTTGCTTTTAGATGTCTTGTCGACCCGAGTAGTAGAGCTTCCAGCTGGTCCTTCGAGCAGCTGGAGCATGGCTTGCTCCAGATTGTAGATAGGTACGTCATTATCATGTCCTGCGACCCCCGCAACAACTTTCTTTGGGTGCCTAGCACGGCATTGGAACACGGCCCTTGTGCAGCAAGAGGCGAGATTGATCTGCACACAGTATGCATCAGCATGGCAAGTAGTGTAGAATGACCATGAAAACAGACCTTGTCACTTGTTGGCGAATTGTTAGTGAGGTCCTCAAGCACTTCATGTAAGATGACAACAGGCCAGATGGTAGAATGAAAGGTACTGACAAGTTTTGTCAGCTCCCAGCCCAGGAGTTGTTGGATAACCAAGGCCAGTGGAGCAAGGTTGGGTGGGGCGGGAGATTGCACAACAGGTAACTCTGCAACTGGTGTGACAGCAGGTTGCATGTATAGATTGATGACACAAGGATCAGGAAATGACTCAGTGAGTGAGTGGGCCAGTGCAGGGTGACCTTGACCTATTTCTCCCATGGGATCATTGGTAAGGTGATACCAAGCAGCATCTCGCCACTGCTTCAGGGTCTGATCTAGTGGGATGTTGTCATGCACTAACAGCTGGTGTTCATGCAGTGAATGAGACTGAGAGTGGTTTCAGGGCCACAGCCAGCAAGACCCTTCTGATAAAGATGTCAGTGAGAAAAGTGTCTGTAGGATAGTTGACCTGCTGTATTGTAGTTGCCACCACAGCAGATGGCCATTGTCACAAACACATCACCAGTAAGGCAGGGTTCTACATGTTCTTGGATAGCACTCATGGTGTACATCTTGATAGTTGCATTGGGTGATAACGTCAAGCTGATGAACACCCTGCTTAGTAAAAGCTGCCTGCACAAAAAACAAACAACTTACTTTTGAAGGACTGTCTTAGCTCCAAAGACAAAGACATCACTGTCATCAATCATGACAGCATCAACAATCCCTGCATTGTTCATCAAGGCTAGCTGCACTTCAGCTTCCCCCACAGCCTGGGACAGCAGAAAACTTCATCAACAGCAAACAGGAGGAAAGAAAAAGGATGCACAGTGATCCATTGCATGTTGAAGGCATCCAGGATACATTGTGTGGGCTTGACCATCCAATGGTCTCTTGTAGACACATGGTGCCCTCTTTTGACCTCTGGCCACTGGTTGCCATCATAACAGAAGACAAGTTGCACCAGGAACCATGCAAGCCGAGCCAGGCAAAATAAAAAGGTCCAGAGGGCAGGGTTCATTTCAGTCTGAGCATGCACACGGTGCCATTTTCCTTACTGACATTGTTCAAACCATCCACTGCATAGACAGCAGGGAGAATTTTTAGCATCAAACACAGACACACCCAACAATGTGGTCACTAACCTTGCATCAATGCCCATGACATAGGGAAAGTGAGGGGCAGGTCCCATGTATCGATCCGAGAGGGCAAGGGACACAATGGGTACCATCGTTGTGGCAGGCTCAAGCACCTGTGAAGCCAGGGCATGAGGTCTCAATTGAGCAAAATAGGGTGCACATACTACATACCTCCCATAGATGATTGACACCCATTATGGTGCCAGAGAAGGACAAGCTGCTGCTGCTGCATTTCTGAGAGAGATGGTTGTGTGCTGGGGCCATGAACAAGATGGTGATGAGAGGAGGAGGACAAGGAGAGGAAGATGTGGTAGTGTATACCTGTATTATAAATTGAGTGGCCATACAGCAGCCGCTGCCTTGACTGCAAAGCTGGGGACTGTCAATTTGCAGTCCATCAGCCTGATGGTCACATTTTTTGCAGAGGGAAAGACAGGTACTCACCACAACCTCAGCACCGTCCAGACGGTAGATTGACGGTCTGACATGGGAAATTTGCAGTCAATTTGGCATCTTCCCAGACGGTTGGACTTTAGCTCACCAAGGATCCCCCACCTCACCCAGCGGTGGCTCGAGCTTGTCAGCATCTCAAAAATGCTTTATTTTTTTCGTCTACGACGTCAAGCACTCATCCCGCGTCCACCCGCCGCCTCTTCTCCATTTCCGAGCGTCTTCCTGGGGTCGTGTCCTCCTCCGTTTGGGTGGCCTTTCTCAGTTTGGGTGGCGCGTGGCGTGGTGGCGGTGCCAGATTGGTCAGCCTGTGCGTGACCGTCAATTTGACCGTGATCAGTCCTTCCGACTCCGAGTGTTGATATTTTGCTTCTGTTTGTATTTTTGAGCTACTTAGCACTAGTCTACTAGTAGGCCTCATCATTTGAGGTTCTGAGTCTTGGCACAATGCTTAGTTTAGTTCATCAGCTTGAAAACGATTTGCAGGTTTCGCTGTCTTTGATATAGTACATACGTATCTACATATTTCGTCTGCGTTCCTCTTCGTTCTTCGTCTTATCGTTATCTCACAATCCTCTCCGTACGATATTACTTCACCAAGCATACTTTCTACCGTGTCTGCTCAACACGTACCTAACGACATGTAGTTTCTTCGATTTCAATACAAATATTTCCACTCGTCAGACAGTGATTTGAAAACACGACGCATGAGTGAGAAATACTGCAGCCATGGAACCGTGTTTGCCAGTGTAGACTTGAAGATCAAAAGCCTTCGAAGTCGGTTATAGTGCCACTATAAGTTGTTTTAGGTTACGTCGCATAAGTTCCAGAGTTTTTTTTGCTCAATATGACATTGTTCTCACCTCTATATAGCAGGCTTGGTGTCTATCAGGGGAAAAAACGGATTCACAATTGTCAACCGCGATGAGCTCCGTCCGCTGCCGACACGGCTTTTGGTGATACGAAAGGATGATCGGGCAGTGCAAAGAAGGTATACAGTGACGAATTAATTGCGATGAGATGAGAAGCGGGGGTTCTCGAAACATGATAGAGGAAAAGCACCAACCTCCTGAATTAGAACATACGGACTAGCGCTCAGCGAACAGCTTTGATTCCAGGCGCATTTATTGAGAGCATTATTTGGAGATCTCGCACAGGCTCCTTGAAATACTTTAAATTGGAAGGTTCGGTTTTCCTGATTAGTGGAGGAGATACAAAACCAACGAAAACCACACATAATATTTGGTGATGCCCTGTTTACCTGATCGACGTAAAGGAATAAAATTCTGATGATGTGCTAAGGTGGGCATCCGTCAGCCGTCACCAGCTGATCTAGTCTTCAAGGATTCCGCGATCCTGTATTCCCAGTATCTACAAAGAAATCAGTGAAGCGTATACTCCAAAGCGCTTAATTTGTGATCTACCTTTTGCGTATAGTGTCGTGCTCGTTTGCCAGGGATTTCCAAAGCTACGATAGGTCAGGTATTTGTTAAGTTCACGAATTACGTATCCTACCTCAGTGGCCTTCACCAAGTCACCACCACCTGCTGCCTCATGAATATCAGCCATGAATTCAACAGCAGCGACACAGGGCAATTGTGAATCCTTCGAAGGAAGAGGACTCTCAAGATCAACGACTTCAGGGGGTGTACCTAAAGGAGGTTGGGGCAGAGAATAAGGCAGCACGAATGCTTGAAGCTCGGAATAAGGAATTTTAGCATGATCAAGCACCCCGCGCAGGTAATTCCACGCAGATGCATTATTCGGTGCAATCGCAATTCGCTCCTTTACAAATCTGTCGTGTATCTCGTTATTGTTCCAGGAATACATAGTGCTCAGATCAAGACTTACGCAAGCTCCCGCCGATCGATCGCGTCCCTGTCTTCATCCCCGTTCCGTACCCCAGATTGAAAGGCGACGAAGAATCTGTGATGCCATGCAGAGTTGTTCCTCACGTCACTTTCAAGCATGCTCTCCACGAAATCCAGTTCATGGCTCCATAACGCGTCGTCATTGAAGTTTGCGAGGATCCACTGTCTGTACGACCACGTGTGGTAGTTCTTCATATCAACTTGCAGCGAGTTAGCGATGAACTCAAGCTCAGGGCCGGGGTTGCGAGTCTGCTGTACGAGCAGCTTGCGGTGATGCCAGACTTGGTATGTCTTCAAATGCTTGATCGCAAGCTCATCCATCAGCTGAAGCTCATCGTCGAGGGGAGACTTCAATGCCATAAGTGTTTTATACCTGTACTGCCTAATCGCACATGGAAACGTGCATCTGTGTTCGGCTATATGTGCATGATGGAACAAGTCACACTCACCATGCAGAGTAGTGTCCAGGATTCTGCCGAATTATATTCTCCGTGAGCTCCAACACCCTGGGACTCATCTCACCACTCTTGACAATCCCTCTGAAGTAGTTCGTGGCATCTTTGTCTGATAGATACAATCCGATCGTTGCGTTGAGTGAGGGTCTGCAAACAAGCCGGTTTGCTCACGAACATTCATCCGTATAAAAGATGGGCGCAAGAGGGGCGACATTCTCGTACTGCTCTAAGGGAACGACATCGGCCCACTCAGGTCGCTGAGAATACAACGGCTTCTCCTCTTCTGCAGGGATATTCATGGCCAAAATGTGGATTATAGTGGGAGTTTCAAGTATCACAAGACAAAGGAGATTGAAATGGCCAGGAATAGCAACTACACTTATTTGCCATCAGCAAGCCCAGAAATCACGAGAATGTCGGAAGAATGCGCCTGAAGTCCAACGTTCAGAGTAAATCATTGGGCGAGTCGATGTCGGATAACACAAGGTCTCAGATCTCAACAGGCGAGCATGAAGAGACTCATAACTCAATAGAAATTCGAGTCCCAGGAAAACAAGCGTGTAGAATACAGGACAGACTACTAAGAATAAATCGGAACGGTATCAAAGGGGGACAAAACAGACAGTCAGCATTAGCAGATACACAGTACGAGCTACTTTAAGCAGCGGCGGGAACAACGATATTGCTCGCAGTGTAATCCTGAGAAATCTATATGAACATGATGTTCCAGAGACGAGGTTCAAGAACAAACCTCCATCTCTGCATCAAGATCAGCAACGCTCTTCTGAGGTCTTTCATTCCCCTTCCTTCCTCGGCCTCTTCCACGGCGAGAGCCACGCGTTGCAGGCCTATGAATTGGTAAGACAACGAAACCAGTAACTTTAGTGTACGCACCTGGCACTTCGAGCGTCTGGAGCTGCAGGAGCAGAAGCGGCAGGTGCGACGCGCGACACGAGTGAAGCGGGCGGAGCAGGACGTGCGGGGTCGACCACGATTTCGATCTTCATTGGGCGTTCTGTAGTTGACGTGCGAGTACGATTCGGAAAAGAGATAGACATTCGTTAGTCGGCTGTGCTTTCAGCGAGGAAGCAGGCAAAAGGGACGGATACGAGGAGCATGCCACTGTCCAAACCGTTACCAAGAACATTGTCGACTCTGTCCTCCAATATGCCGCAAGAGCTGAGGCTTGCGCGCGAATGGCCGCCCTGATTGGTCAAGGGATGAAGATTTGGAGTACTTCCCCGCCTGTCACTCCATAATACTTGCACCGGCCTGGAACTCAATCCCGAGACTGAGCCATGAGGAACGACGTGCACTGCGAGGGCACCGAGATTGCAAGTTCGAAGGACGACAAGCCTTCAAACCAACCTGCAACCTGGTACGCACCTCAATAATGTCGAGGCAGCGGGCACAAGACTCTGCCACCAAAAGAGTCTCGATAACCCGCATATGGGCGTTTCTGCCACGCATGCACGTCTTTTTGGCAGGGCCAAACAGAGAACCAGCGACAACGGATCTCCGTAACGGATGAAGGGCTCTTGCGGGAGATAAAGGAAGGAGATAATAAAGCAGGCGATACTAACTCCCATCGATCAATCGGTTGTTATATTGCTGGTAGGCCAAAGTACCATCGCCCTTGCGTTGGAAGTGAACCGCTGCGACACCTTTTGAACGTCCAGCGCTATCATAATGCAAAGTGACGTCGCGCAGGGCTCCAACGGTAGTGGAGAAGAGCTCCTACATTCATGCTTAGACAAATCGCCAAGGTCACCAAAATTTAAAAACACACCCTAATTTGAACTTCATTCACATCTGTTGGAAGGTTGGAAACAATGATTTTATCGGCGGGTTGCGCAGATGTGGTGCCTGCGGCTTTAATAGCGCCGGCAGTGGCCGCGCGGGTGGCGGGGTTGGCGCCAGTAGTTCCGAGAAGTTGAGCCTTGGCTCCTGCACCTCCGCGACGACCAGTACCACGACGAGTGCCCCTAGGGCGAGAAGAAATGACCTAAACATAATGGTTTGCACGCGCGTGACAGAAATTTTTTGCAACTCAACACCAACCTCGTCAAGTGATTTGTCCATTATTTCCAAGTTTTTAAAGAACGCGTGAATTATTAGCGGGTGAGATTACTGCTGTTTTGAGAGTCTTAACAACAAAGTAGACAGGTTGGTGGTGGTGATGGCAAAGGGGCGACGCAAGAGGACCCTAACACAGCAAGTCCTTGTTATATAACGCTTCGGAGTTTAAACTTTCTCAACTCAGCATGATGTATGCCTGTGGCTATACTTGCATCTTTGATCAAGGAAATCACCGCCTTCTAATAAGGTTTTGAAAATATGTCCAGAGGACGCGGTGGTGGTCGAGGCGGCGGAAGGGGTGGCTTTAGAGGCGGTGGTGGTGGATTCAGGTGCAGGGAGCATGCCTCCTATGGGTCTCACATTTGCAGACATACAAGCTATGTCCAGGGACGGAGACGCGTTGTACCCAGTGCGGTGCATCATTTTTGTAACATCATAGTGTGCAATCTCATTTGTATCCGAACAGCCGTTGGATCCTCTGCCAGTTCTCACCGATTACTCTGCAGACGAGAAACGAATCTGTGATCTGCAAACCGGTTTCGTTACCCGTTTACGGCAATCTGCTTACTATGTGGTCGAAACGTCGAAATCAAATGGTTCGAATGATCGTAAGTGATTGATAAACGGGAACCTAACGTATTTGCTTTACAGACTTGGAGCGTTATTCTGATAAATATCGCCAGAGTCCTGCTTCTCAACCTACACTGAAGCGGAAGGACCTTTATGCACCCTTTTTTCCCTCAGAGATATTCGAGGGCTATTTTAATCCGAAAAGAAAACGCAAAGGCCAGTGGATCAATGTTCACCTCATACCGTTACTGAATGAATCAACAGTTGAAAAGAAAGGCACCACAAAACGCCTCAATCTTGATGACTTAGCGGAGGACGCTGAAGACCAGGTATATCACAACTTCAGATATACATTTATTTTCGGAATATTAACACACTCTTCAGGAGAAGTCGGGCGATGAACGCTCAGACGCTGGATCACAGCCAGTTGACTCCGACTATGACGTCGATGAGGAATATGACAATGATTATGCGGAGAACTATTTCGATAACGGTGAAGGAGACGACATAGACGGTCTTGGAGACGGCGGCGGCGGAGATGATGGCGGTGGCGGAGGTAAGACTTTTCTGATACCCGTGTATTCTAGCCATCTCACATAATGAACAGGTGATTATGACTAGGAGAGCACATCTGTGTACCTCCCTAGTACGAAAGGACCTGCGATGCAGAGACCTACTTATAATCGGCGCTTTCACGGCCCTATCATGCTTTGATGGTGCCGCCTGTGCCTGCCTGACAGCCCCTCTAAAATGCACGTGTTGCCTTGGACTTGTGCTAGTCAGCGTCCTCTCTTTCAGACTCAAGACCAAAGGGATAATCAGTCCAATCCGAATGTTTCTTTCGCCGCATTGTACTCCGTATCAACCACATTCATATGTGTACAATACAATATGGATTTCTTGTTACTGAGCGAACCCCAGAGCCGCGCCTGTGTAGTGTGAAAGCTTGGTGCACAAGATGTCAACAGCTGGATAGCTCTCAGATACATCCACAAAATACTCGGGGGACCCTCGCATGTGCGCAGACGTTTCGAGATCAGATGTTGCTCCCTACGCAGTTTCGTTCTGTGCTATCATCTGCAATGTCACCCATTTCGGCGAGCTCAATGTGCTTGCCGATGCTGGCGTTATGTGACAACTGAAATCGACCTCACCACTTATGAACACCAGGTGAGTAGATTTACTTGAGAACATCCTGGTGCTTGCCACTTGAAGGTGATGGGCTGATTCTTCAACCAGCTGATAGCCGTAGTCATGATTTCACGATGGCGGAAGATCCACAAGGACAGCCGCGTGCTTGCCGTCCGCAACTTTAATATTCGAATTCAAGAGTTTGCGACTGGCTGTACTCGGAAAGACGTTGATGATGCTCACATCAAGCAGGCGACCTAACGAATCCGTGAACTGGAATTTCATCGATCAGACCACACATATCCGATGCACGCTTCGAACATTGCCGGTCTACAACAGCGAATAACTAGTGGAGGTGATGCAAAGCTGGCGAGGAGCATGGTGGCGCTCGAAGTAAAAGTGACTATTGTCTGATAAGGTTGATCATTGTATATCCGTATACCACGGTATGGATTATTCAGGACTATGACATGCGTATTCCCACTATAAACTTGCGAGACACGGATAGGAAAGAGATTCGTCGAGTGGGAGAAGTGGCCTGATCAAATTAAGAACTTGAGACAGGCTAGTGTAAAACATCAGGAAAAATTCAAGACGTACGCTTTAAAACATTCTTTCTCGTCTGACAAGACTTAATGCATATGTACCGAGTGGCCCTCGCTTCCGCTATCTTCCTCGAAAGCCTCACCACCCTCATCAATGTCACCACCAACGGCAACTTCCTCATTTTCGGTCTCTCGGCTGCGCGGCCTTGCAGTGGCCATACGAATCTCGTGCATTTTCATCAGCTCATTCAACATCATCATCTTGCCCTGGTTACGGACAAAGGGGAAAGTCTTGATCAAATCCACGACGAGATTCCACGCTGGGGAGTATGCCAGGTAGTCATCATCCCCATGGATTTCAGGATCCCATGCCTCGATTGTATTTACATTGGGTGCGATGGCTGAGATGAAGACAGCGATATTTATCGGATGGTCAATCCTCGAACCACCAAAGAATGCGCGAGATAGCGTCTTGTGAAAAAATCCTTGAGAAGGAACGCCAGGGGGTATGGCGTACGCGTCTATCGTAGACCAATCCACTGTAACGGCGATCGAGACCAAACGCGGGCAATGCTGCAACAGCGAGACGAAGGCATCTGGAGTGACTTGATGGCTGGAATGGCAGTACCGGGTAATGTATAGCTCTTCTAGAAGGGGCCAGGCCTTACCCATCTCCAAAAGGGCAGCATCATCCATTTGCACAATACAGTGTTCATCCGCTTTGAAGTCGAGCTTGCGAAGATTGTGGAAGGCAAAGAGTGGTCGAAAAGCTTCAGCTTCGATTAAAGCATCGCGATCAATAGGTTGATTGGTGATGTTGAACTGCACCTGTTGCAGTGAGCTGTGTGCACACCCATTGGCTATACGAGAAATCGAAGCTGGCAGAGCCCGCGCGGAATCCACTCCATGAGTGATCGTAAAGGATAATAATTTTGGAGCAACAGTGAGTTGCTCCAAAAAAGCCTCTAAGATGACTAGACGTTTGCATGTTATGTCCAGTTCTTGTAACGCGCAAAACACGGGCTGCTGTAGGAGCTTTCGAGTAGCTGCAGATATGGGCGTTGGAGGTAATTGAAATTTCAAAACTTGGAGTGAAGGTAAACTGGACAAGTGTAGTATACCTGCCTCGGAAACTGTTCCAGTCCTCACCGATGTTAGATGAGACCAACATTGTAATATGGTCGATGTGTCTCTTGGTTGAATAGATCGACCGGAACCGATAACGAGACTGAAATCCGAAACAGAAGGACATGACTTTGGGATAGACGACAAGATGGGATGTTCGGATGGATCGAATGTTTTAAAGGTGAAGGACCGTGCATGGATATTGAGCATCGTCAACTGTGGAGTAATAAATAACCGAATATACTGAAATGTCTCGCCGCTAGTCTGAGTCCAGGTAAGGGACGTCAAGTTGGGGAGTAAGGGAAGCGAGAAGGGGGGACAGGTGAGGGCATGCCAAATTTCAGTGCCACAGATCATCTCGTCATTCATGAACGACCCCTGACATTGATTGACTAGCGAATGGACGCGATAGTTATATTTACAGAAAATGGACCAGTCACCGAGGGTCATGGTTCTTTGGAATTCCTGTCAGATGGTGTCAATTGGTGTACTCTTCAGTATGAGCCAGAGCTTAACTAACTAGCTTTTTCTCGTCCTGTTTCCATAGGCTTCGTGGGAGACACTTGATGAGAGGTTCGAGCCCACCTAAGTGCCGCCACAAAAGATCCAGCGCAGGTCCAGTAAATGATTTGCATGTCAAGGCAAGTGTCAGAAGTGACTGTCTCATGAACGTCAACTTGGAATCCATTCCCCATTCGAATTCCGGAAGTCGTCTAACAGTACTAACAGGCATGTTAGGAGGAGCAACCAGGTCGAAGATTTTCCACCGAAGCTCAGCAATCATGATACAACGAGTAGATGCTGACAAGAAAGAAGCAACACTGCTACTGTTGTGAGCACGTTGACACTCAGCGCTTTCAGCCTCCATACTTGTGTGAGGAATTTTGGAGGTTCAAGACTTCAAGTGGAAATTAGTTCGGACTTGGACAACTTCAACTTGTCAAGTTGCTCAGTTACTCGAGGCACAGCCACCTTCCGCCCGCTGGCACTTGGCAGTACTTCTAAACTCTACCTCGCGCACTTACTCTCCATACTCGGATAGTATTTATCGAATGGCGAAATTACTGTGACATTGCCCAGAATTGCCACAGGATGCAGACACAGTACATACTATGATCTTTGTGAAGCACGGAAAAACAAACCAACTGCAACTTGAAGCATCGTCACTGGAGGGGTCTTCTTCACCCTAGGCCTCTGGGTTCATGGCAGACTGATCTGACTTGTCTAGGATTGTAGCTTATTCGCAGCCAATCATCAGCAGTGAAGGTGAGGACTTTGGACTATGGGAGAAACTGACTACTTTTAGGGGGACTCTAAAGCAAGACCTGGATGCGAGACAGAACTCAACCCAAAGGACAGCTACTGAGAGAAGGTCCTTGAAATGACTGAGGGAGACTCTGAAACCAAATGGGTGCTATAGGATGTGCAAAGCGTGAATACTGGAAGAAGCGTGATGAAGATGCATGTGAAAGCGTGCTGATGCAATAGAAAGCAAGAGCACATGCAACGGGGGTCTAAAGCATAGATGCTAGAGCTATCTGGAAATGAAATCCAGTGGAGAGGGAATCAAGCTGACTAGAGGTGATCATGTCTATGAAGGTAGTGTGTGAGTTCAAATTCTTAGTGCTTTCAAACTGGCTCTGATGCACAAACTACTGCTACTACACAGAGGTGGGAAGTGCTAGGATAAGGTACTCTAAAAAACTCCCAGTCCCTTCTCTATATTGGGCATTAGGCAATGCTTGTAGTGCAGAGGTAAAGCGAGTAGGTAGCAATATCTGTATGTAATAGTGTTTTAAGCATGCACTTGCATGTGTTTACAGCACTATAATTGGCCTGGAAGGTACATCAGAGTGATAAGAGTATGATAAAAACACACCAGTGGACTTTAGTGAGGACATGGATGGGTGGATGGACTGTAGCGGAGGACCTAGAGCGGGTGCGCAGGACATGCAAGTGCATTTGTGCATCAGCATGCGATAGCTGTTACAGTAAACGGTTGCCCCCCTTCTATTTTCTCTTTCGTATCCATTGTATTACGTCATGACCGCACGACGCCGTGCCATCACTAGACTAACTCCGCTATCAAACTCATGTATTACAGCACGACCGCCTTGTGCCATCGCTAGCTGACGTCATTTCTCTTATCTCTGACTCGTCTTGATGACGTCATTTCTCTTATCTCTGACTCGTCTTGATGACGTCATTTCTCTTATCTCTGACTCGTCTCGATGACGTGTACGTACCGGCCCTAAAGTAGCCTTACCTATATAAACAGGGTCCTGTACTTAGTTAGACTTCACTTTAATCTACTAGGTTTTACCCAGAACATCCTTCGCTTAAGACCCCCAATCTTAAGTGTCTGATATCGATATTCAAGTCGGAGACACTCTCTCCAACTTGTCTTAAAAGAGGCCTTACATTTGTGAGGTTACGATCCGGCTTTAGACGTCACTCTTATCGAGTGTCTATTGTCGAGCCCATCCTAGTCGACCTACGGTTCGCCGTAACAAAAGATTAAAGTCTCCTCCAACCGACCCTCTCATCAAAGAGGTTATACAGAACCCAGAAACCCAGACGACCCTCTCCATCAGAGAGGTTAACCAGACTCAGCGAGAGAACGAGAAACGTTCCCCTGAAACCAGAAACATCTTTTGACCAGAAACGTTCAGGATGTCCACCATTGCCAACACCCCAGAATTGAAGGCCGGAGCCCCATCTATCTATGATGGAAGTCCCTCCCAAGCCCTACGATGGCTATATGCAGTCAAGGCGTACTTCGCGCTTAATGCTACCATCTATAACACCGATGATAAGAAGGTCATCACCGCCCTCGCCTACATGACAGAAGGAAGCGCTATGGGTTGGGCATTGACCTTCTATACTGAAGTTGATGACTCCGTCGCCAAGACTTACGGGACCTTCGCAAACTTTGAGACCAAGTTTAAGGAGGCCTTTGTACCAGCCGATGCCGTCGGAACCGCCATGAACAAACTCCGTACTCTGAGACAGACAGGCGACCTCACATCCTATATCGCCAGTTTCAAGACGCTTGCCGCACAAGCATCCGTGAAGCAAGACGCCGTCCTTATCTCGTTCTTCAACGACGGACTAAAGAAGGGAATTGTTAATTCCGTCTACCAGATGGAAACCATTCCCGTGGATTTCAGCAAGTACGTCGCCGCCGTCATTCGGCTAGACAGTAACTACCAAAGAGGGGCTGCGTACCGATCAAATCATCGTACCGTTACCAAACCATCTGGACAACGATACATCCCCAGACCCTCCATCGATCGGCATGATCCAAATGCTATGGAGGTAGACCGGCTCACTGAAGCCGAAAGAAACGACCACATGAAGAAAGGACTATGCTTCACGTGCCACCAGAAAGGCCATCTCACTAGAGCATGCCCGCAGAAGAAGAAGATCCCTGTTCGCAGAGAAGAGATGAGCGACAGCGAAGAAGAAGAAGAAGATACAACGATCCGTCGCCTCGCCGAGGATTTTTGATGTGGAAGACGGGATCGACGTCCGTATCTTCCAATGTACCGATAAGACTTGTACAGAGTGCAGGAATCAGAAAAGAACTTCGTGTTCCCATTACCCTCATCTCCAAGACACGTCTGAAAACCGTCGAAACAACAGCAGTTGTTGACTCCGGCGCCGCCGGGACCTTTATCTCAGAAGAGTTCGTCAAAACTCACAACATTCGAACGCATAAACTATCGAAACCATTTCGGGTCACGACCGCGGATGGAAGTTATGCGAAGGGGGGAGCTATCACTCGATATTGCGTCCTTATCGTCAAGATAGACGACCGATCAATGATCGGAAAGTTTAACATCACGCGACTAGGTCGACGTGATCAGATTCTACTTGGGATCCCTTGGTTGCGCGCCATGGACCCAGTAATCCGATGGAAGGCGGAAACGCTAGAGCTCTCTCGAACGGAGAAGAGCGATCAGATCGAAGAAGAAGTTGATCAAGAACGAAAGAAGAACGGACTGCCTCCTCTCTTTCGAAAGAAGAAGAAGCAGACGAAAGAAAAACCAATCCCAGTTGTAGTGCTGCCGAAGGCGCCTCCTAAGGAAATGGTTGAACAGCGACCACCACACGCTACGATAGAAGAAATCACCGATGAAGAAGAAGTCCCACCGACTCTCCCTAACCTAGATCCGGTGCCAGACGACGATGATGATTCCTTCGACACGAAGGAAGACGTATGGACGATGGACTACGCACCACCCGTGCGAGAAATCTCCACCTACCATCTAGAAGATGATGAATTTCTAGTCGAATACCCCGCCGACGCCTCAGAACTTCGGGTAATCACCAATGTCTCACTCGACACCCCTTTAACAAAAGACGGTACTAGCATTGCTGAGCAACGACCCAAGATCACTCCCTTGACGCCACCTGCCGAATATGCGAAGACAAGTAACAAAGCTCAGCAGTTCGCATTAGCTGCCGGGCTTGAGCAGAAGAAGAAGTCATTTGAGGAACTCGTCCCCTCTTACCTTCACGACTTTGCCGACATCTTTGCAAAAGACGGCCTGAATCAATTACCGCCAGAGCGACCTGGTATAGATCACCGGATAGAAACCAAACCAGGTTTCATCCCCAAAACGTCTAAAGTATACCCGCTATCTGAAAAGGAGCGGACGGCGGTCAAGGCATTTATTGATGAAAACGTCCAGAAAGGGTTCATTTCTGAATCGAAATCACCGCAGGCTAGCGGTTTCTTTTTCGTAGGAAAGAAGAGCGGAGACCTTCGTCCTTGCCAGGATTACCGGTATATCAACGAATGGACTATCAAAAACGCCTACCCGCTCCCACTGCCACTCTCCCTGGTCGCTCGGTTACATGGTGCCAAGTATTTTACGAAGATGGACGTCCGGTCTGGATATAACAATATCCGCATTCATCCAGAAGATCGTTGGAAAGCTGCTTTCACTACGGAATACGGACTCTTTGAGCCTAACGTTATGTTTTTCGGTCTTTGCAATTCCCCGGCCACCTTTCAAGCATATATGAATAGGACGTTCCAGCAGGAAATCAACGAAGGATGGCTCGTCATATACATGGACGACATCCTTATATTCTCCAACGACCTTACCTCCCATCACGAACGCACTCGGCATATCCTCGAACGAATTCGACAAGAGAGACTTTTCCTTAAACCGGAGAAGTGCACTTTCGATGCAGAAGAAGTGGAGTACCTTGGAATGATTATCCGCCCCGGATGCGTAGCAATGGACGACGCCAAAACTACTGGTATTCGAGAATGGCCTACACCGACCACCGTGAAAGAAGTTCGGTCGTTCTTAGGATTCTGCAATTTCTACCGGAACTTCATTTCCCATTATTCCGACATCGCCAGACCGTTGATTGACCTTACCAAAAAGGACGTCAAGTTCCTTTGGACGGAGCGGTGCACATCCGCGTTTAACGAATTAAAGGACTGCTTTACGAAACAGCCAGTCCTTCGGAACCCAGATCCTTCCAAACAGTTTGCTGTTGCCACTGATGCATCGCTTGTCGCTACTGGAGCAGTTTTACTCCAAACAGACGATAATGGTGTCTATCACCCATGTGCATACCTGTCTCAGACCTTGAACCCCGCGGAACGGAACTACCAGATCTTTGATCGTGAACTCCTCGCGGTCATTCGCGCACTAACCGAGTGGCGTCATTACTTGGAGGGGAACCCCCATCCCGTCATCGTATTCACCGATCATAAGAACCTTCTATACTTTAGAACGGCCCAGAAGTTAACCCGCCGTCAAGCACGATGGCAGTTGATCCTATCCTGTTACGACATTGAACTGCACCACGTTGCAGGGACTAAGCTGGTCGCCCCCGATGCCCTATCCCGTCGCCCCGACCATGGATCAGATTCTGCAGATGATAACACCAATGAAACCCTCCTTCCCGATTCCATGTTTGTTCGACTTCTTGACGTCGAACTCATGACCACCCTAGTAAATCCTGATCCCTCTGATCCCGACCCCATCTTTACCGCCGCCTCTGATGCCCTGGATGGAATGTCACTTCCTCCTATGAAATCCGCCCTCTCTGATTGGAAAATCACCGACGATATTCTTTATTACAGAGATCGTGCTTACGTCCGCCCTGCCGGGCGGCACCTGATATTAGAACGATGTCATGACCATCCTACCGCCGGCCACCCTGGTCGTTTTAAAACTGAAGAACTGGTCAAACGTGATTTTTGGTGGCCCGCCATGGGCACCTATATTCGAAAATACGTCGAAGGCTGCGCTCTCTGCCAGCAGATGAAATCTGACACCCATCCCCCGAACCCCCCCCTTGTCCCTATCCCTTCCGTTGCCACCGCACCCTTTACTCAGGTTTCCGTTGACCTCATCACCGACCTTCCTCCCTGTTCTGGTTTTGATTCAGTCATGGTCGTGGTCGACCATGGGCTTACGAAGGGGGTAATTCTCATCCCATGTACTAAAACCATCACTTCCGAAGGGGTCGCCAGCAAATTTTTCAAATATGTCTACCGCCGATTTGGCTTGCACGAGAAAGTCATTTCTGATCGCGGTCCCCAATTCATATCCAAGTTCTCCAAAGCCCTAGCTAAGTTGCTGAAGTACGATATAGCGGCATCAACCGCCTATCATCCCCAGACCGATGGACAGACGGAACGGCTCAACCAAGAGCTAGAAACCTACCTCAGAATCTATTGTCGAAGTAACCCTGAAAATTGGGTAGAACAACTCCCTATGGCGGAATTCGTCCATAATCATCGCAAACACGACTCTCGCAATGCCTCCCCATTCTTCCTCATGATGGGATACGAGCCACGAGCTCTCCCACATGTCCTCCCTAGCTCCACAGTTCCAGCCGCGGAAGATAGACTCCGTACGCTCCAGAAATCTAGAGAAGAAGCATTATCCTGCCACAACCTTGCAATGCAACGTATGGCAGAAAGAACTCATGGGCAGAAGTATCACCCGTGGAAAGTTGGAGATAAGGTTTGGTTATCCGGAAAAAACCTAATCACGCAGTTACCATCGCGAAAACTCGCCCCAAAACGATATGGTCCATTCCCAATCACCGCCGTCCTATCTCCCATCACGTTCACACTCCAGCTACCACCTCAGTGGAAGGTTCATCCCACGTTCCATGCTTCCGAACTATCGTCCTATCACGAAACAGAGATTCACGGACCGAACTTCCACGACCCACCTCCTGACGTCATTGATAACGAAGAAGAATATGAAATTGATGCGATCTTATCGCACAAGGGAACGGGTAAACGAAGACGCTATCTCTTATCATGGAAGGGATACTCATCAGCCAGTAACGAGTGGGTTCCAGAAGGAAATCTCGCTAATGCTCCCGACGTCCTTAACGCCTATAAAAAGGCCCACGGACTGTGATTCCCTTAGAATGTCCTCCATCGAACGACTACGTCTTTGCATCCTCCGTATACAAGAAATTACTGCCGCTATGGACGCCGCCACAGAAAGAGAAAGAACGCTTCCCGTAACACTCCAAGAATATCAGAACGCAACTGCCGCCGACCTAGCACGCCACGCATTCACATCCCCCGCACCTTCGCCGCCCACCTCTGACTCCACTCTGACCCTTACCGACGATTCGACTCTTACCGACTATTTTTCGGTCATTGACCAAGTCGAAACCAGCGCCCTATTCGAATCCGCTATCACCTCCCAACAGTACGCTATTGAGATTGATCGCCTCCTTGGAGAAAGAGGAGCAATCTCTAGCGGTCTTATTATTCGAATCATCAGAGACGCTAGTCTCATCGAGCGCACCGCCGCCCTTCTTGACGATGAACGTCATCAGACTATCTTTCGTCATCTTCATATTCGCATTCGTAACACTGCCATCCGCCTTCTCCCTGAAGATACCAGGGACGCTATTAGAGAAGCCATCCATATCGTCACCGAGCGAATTGCCCTCAACCCCATCGCAAGACCACCATCACCCCATGTCGCTATTCCCGTACCCCAACCAACCCCCGCTGCCGAGGAGCATCCGGATAATAATATCCCTCCTATTGCCGTACTTGACGTACCGGCTTCTCCTTCTCCTGACCCAGTCGTACGCACCAAGAAACGATTCCCGCTCAAACGCAGGTCCTCCCGCCTCGCCGCCAAACGAGCCGCATCCGCCTCCCCTACTAAACCACCACTCAAAAGATCGCGATCACCATCACCCCCTAACCAATCCTCATCGACATCGGTCACCGTCGTGAAAACGTCACCGGTTGATAACGTTGTATGTCGGAACTGTCGCATCGCCGGTCATCGACACAAGAACTGCCCCGCGTACTATTGCAGAGTTTGCAAAGAATACGCACCAGGTCATCTGTCGGTCTTTTGTAAAGACTTGAAAGGAGAAGCGGTCATTCCGCTAGTATGGACTGACGTCGGTTTTTACGACGCACTTGCTCGTTGGGAGATTGAGCAGGACGCCATCGCTCACGCTGAGCATCTGGCACAACCCCTTACTGTCACAGAGGAACAAGACGACCTCCTTGACTCTAACTACGACGCTGACCCCATCTACTGGGCCAATCAGGATATGTGAAGTCGGTGACTTCATCGCTAAACGAGGGGTAATGTTACAGTAAACGGTTGCCCCCCTTCTATTTTCTCTTTCGTATCCATTGTATTACGTCATGACCGCACGACGCCGTGCCATCACTAGACTAACTCCGCTATCAAACTCATGTATTACAGCACGACCGCCTTGTGCCATCGCTAGCTGACGTCATTTCTCTTATCTCTGACTCGTCTTGATGACGTCATTTCTCTTATCTCTGACTCGTCTTGATGACGTCATTTCTCTTATCTCTGACTCGTCTCGATGACGTGTACGTACCGGCCCTAAAGTAGCCTTACCTATATAAACAGGGTCCTGTACTTAGTTAGACTTCACTTTAATCTACTAGGTTTTACCCAGAACATCCTTCGCTTAAGACCCCCAATCTTAAGTGTCTGATATCGATATTCAAGTCGGAGACACTCTCTCCAACTTGTCTTAAAAGAGGCCTTACATTTGTGAGGTTACGATCCGGCTTTAGACGTCACTCTTATCGAGTGTCTATTGTCGAGCCCATCCTAGTCGACCTACGGTTCGCCGTAACAATAGCGTGAGTGACTTATCCAGAGGATCAGAACTGAAGTATCAGTGGGAAGGGGTGGTATATCATCCTATAGCAGCAATATAGAGGAGCAAGTCTCTACACTGGTTCAAAGTCAAGTTTGCGAAGATTGCAAAAGGCAAAGAGTGGTTGAAAGGCTACAGCTTCAATTGAAGTATCTCGACCAGTGGGTGTTGAATCATCATAGTTGTCATCATCATCATCATTCATAGCATATTTCCTTTCTCACTTTATCACGTGCATTCTTCTCTCATATAATACCCTTCACTTCGGTTCCTCATACCTCAGTTGTTGTCTCCCAACACTGAGGTATGTTATTTGTTCTCTCGTCATCCTGCCATCTCTTATAATACTCTTTCTAGCATGTTCTGTGTGTTAGGTACTTGCAATGTCTAGTTGTTGTCTCCCAACACTGAGCGTGTTCTGTGTGTTAGCTGCTAACAGTGGGGTGAGCAGGGATGCTAACATCAGCAAACTAGGATTTTCGCCACAAGCCTCACAGGCCTTACAAGCACTCACAGGGTTTCACAAGCATCACAAGGTTTCACATATTCCTCTTGTTTGAGTAAGCTTGTACATACTGTACAGAGACTTAAATTTTTGACCAAAATGATAGTTGTAGCTCTTATTAAGTGGAACCTATCCATGGTCTCATGACATTTTTTGGTTAAGATCCCAATAAGTTATAAGCAAAATACTAGAAAGTGGTGGGTTCAAGAAAGTTAAGGCACAACTTATTTACATAAGCAAGAATGCGAAAATTCACTAAGTCTCTGCCAGCCACATCATGCGGCTTTGTTTGGCACTGCTTATATAAGCAAAAATGCGGTCAACCAAAGTCTTTCTCACTCACTGTCTTTCTCTAATAATTTTCAAGTGTTTGCCTCTCTTCTCTTCTTCTTTGATGTTGATGTTGATGTTGGAGGTGGGTGGTGCTGGTACTGGTACTGGTGTTTTGAACTCTGGTGAGTCTTTTTCTCTTTCTTTGTGTTCAACTCTCTGACATTGTCTTCCTCCTCCTCTGTCTGGTGAGTTCCCTCTTTATAGCTATCTCCCTTCCTCCTCCTCTAAGTTTCGCATTTTTGCCTCTTTGGTGAGTATCTTTCTCTCTCTCTCTCTCTCTCTCTCTCTCTCTCTCTCTCTCTCTCTCTCTCTCTCTCTCTTCTCTCTCTTCTCCTCTACCTCTCTAGCTCTCTTCCTTCCTCCTCCCTTTAATTTTCGCACTTGTGCCTCCTTGGTGAGTCTCTCTCTTCTTCTCCTTCCCTCTCTGACCACTCCTTCTAGCTCTCTTCCCTCCTCCTCCACCACCTCCTCCTCCCTTTAATTTTCGCACTTGTGCCTCTTTGGTGAGTCTTCCTCTATCTCTTCTTCTCCTTCCCTCTCTGATCCTCTCCTTCTAGCTCTCTTACCTCCTCCCCAACAATTTTCGCATGTTTGACTATTTGGTAAATCTTCTTAGTGAGTCTCTCCTCCCCTCTCCTTTTCTCCTTTGATTCTTCTTTTGACCTTAGATTTTCGCATTTTTATCCAGTTTAGTAGGTTTAATCTTTAGTTAGTAGTGTATATGTCTATGTAGTAGTTACTTTGAATTTGACTTCAATTTTTACATTTTCGCATTTTGGGTGTTTTGAGTATCATAATTGAACAAATATGGCTGCTCTGAAATGTACAGATTGTACAAGCCTGTACAGACTCCACAAGCTCACAGACTCTACAGACTGTACTACCTTGTGACACTCTTGTACAGGACTGTAAAGAGGGGACTTCCTTGTGTCCCTGTGAAGTTTGTACAGACTTGTACAAGTCTGTACAGGTCTGTACAGGTACCCCCTGGTTTGCTGATGAAATCACACCTCTTGCAGTGAGCTGTGTGTACAGACATTGGATAGACAAGAAATCAGACCCAGCACGGCCCATGCAGAATCCACTCCACGAGTGATTGTAAAGGATGATACTTTCAGGGTGATAGTGAACTTCCTCAAAAATGCATTTAAGACAGCCAGACTGTTGAATGACACATCCAGCTCTTGTAATGCACAGAACACAAGCCACTGGAGGAGCTTCAGTGCATCTGTAGATATGGAAGTTGAAGGCAATTGACATTTCAAAACTTGGAGTGAAGGCAATTTGGACAGGTGTAGTATGGTCGCCTCAGAAATCGTTCTGGTCCTCACCGATGTCAGATGAAACCACAACTGCAACACAGTCAACATATCTCCAACTGATTCTGTGTATTCATCCCCATTTCAACTGAAATCAAAACCAGGATCCAAGATAGAAGGGCACAACTTTGCAATAGATGATAAGATGGACTGTTTGGATGGGCCAAACATGAATTTACCATAATAGGCAGTGGAAATATGGAACATCATCAATTTTGGGGTCACAAACAACTGAACATATTGAAATGTCTTGTCAGAGGCATTAGTCCAGGTAAGGGACATCAAGTTGGGGAGCAAGGGAAGGGAGAAGGGAGGACAACTGAGGGCACACCAGATTTCAGTGCCACAGATTGCATCTTTTGAGTACCTCTCATGACATTGATTGAGCAATGAATGGACATGGTGGCTGTATTTGCAAAAGATGGACCAGTCATGGAACATCATGGTTCTTTGAAATTCCTATCAAATAGTGTGAATTAGTGTACTCTTGAGCATGGGCCAGAGCTTGACTAACTAGCTTTTTCCAGTTCCGTTTCCATAGGCTTTGTGGGAGACATCTGATAAGAGGTTCAACCCTGTCTAGATGTTGCCACAAAAGGTCCAATGCAGGTTCAGTGAATGACTTGCATGTCAACGCAAGTGCCAGGAGTGTCTTTCTCATGTTAAAAAACACCCATGTCTCCCCAGCAGTACTAACAGGCATGTTAGGAGGGGAAACCAGGTCAAAGATGTTCCACTGAAGCTCAGCAATCATGATACAGCAAGTAGATGCAGGCAAGAAAGAGGAGACATTGTGGCTGCTTCTTCTGTGGGCACGTTGACTTAAACTGCCTCGATATTTTTGGCCTCCATACGTGTGGCAGGATTGATTGGTCAAGTGGAAGTACTAAGATAGGCCTATCTTAGTGGAAATTGATTTTCCTCACGTGACGAAATCACGTCGCGAGTTGAAATGCAAGGTTACGAAGTTTCACAAATCATTATTGATTCGTCAATTGCGAACCACACATCTCGCTGGGCGAACCACCACACTCTTTTATTTTAAACATGAAACTTATTCTCCTCATGCTCTCCCTTCTCCTGGCGCCGGTCGCCGTAACTGCCTGCGAAGGCGACTGCATCGTCGACATCACCAACGAGTACCTCAGCCGCTACCAAAACGTCTTGCTTACGACCTTTCAGAACTTGGAAAGTACATCTCAATTTATCATTGTCGTCAAGTCAAACTTATCATGATGACACGCACAGGCGACCCAGATCAGCGAGCAACTCATCCCTGCTGCAGGCCGCAGAGAGAACCCCATCGTGTACTTCGCCCCCGTCTTGACAGCCTACAACCTTACTGCCTACAACAGTCTAGAGAAAGCCATATTCCCGGGTTACTTCCATGGAAAGTGTCAAGATGCAAACGGCGTGAACCCACCCGGATGCCCAAATCCCGACTGTCCCAAAGTTTGCGGCACGCCCGGCTCCATGGTCCACTTTTACCCTACTCTCATCAAGATCGTATTTGACGAGACAACCAGCCTGCTCGCCAACCTCACGGCACCGGGGAGCAAACCGTACAACCATATACAACAAACAATTATGGCGGACGTCGATAAGGGGCAGAAGAAACGTATGGAGAACCTATCGCGCATCATGCCGTTACGCAGTCGCGCAGCGATACAGGGGAAGAGTACTCACAGCATTCAGCAAGGCCTGAAGAAGATCATGAAAGAGCTGCGGCCGACCATGTTGGAAACATGCGGGGGTTCAAACTTGTCGTTTTGCAGTTGGGAGCAACCCATGAAGGAATTCATTTTGCAGTACCCTTGACCCCGATTTTTCGCTCGCAGACTTCTCATATCACACACTGCTAGAAGCATCGATTCTGTTGATAGTTGTGTTACATTCAGTCATTTGTATTTCAGCCTACGGCCTAATCAACTTTAGTATATCGCTCACAACTCCCATGGCCGTTACGTCATTGCCAGCACCAGCGCCTTGGACAATCAGGGGTCTTTTACCATAGCGTTCGGTATGGAACATGATGATATTGTCCGATCCTCCCAACGAAGTTGCAAACGGATGAGTTTTCGAGTATCTAGAAAGTCGATCAGAACAGAGCAAGCTTGTGAGCTCATCGTGGACCTACTTCGCCAACTCGGCTTTCACGATTTTATTTTTTACATCGACAACGCCAACATAACGGAGAACACTGCCCTCGTTCGCAGCCTGCTCACGCATCTGTGCAAAATGCGAGTCCTGCTCGGGAAGCCACTTCATAAACTCGTCCCCGTTGGAGACAGCGCTCGCAGGGGCGTCCTGGATTAAAGAAGTAGTCTCCACCGACTTGTACCCGTGCAGAAGCGGGAAGTTTCCTTGCTCGTCCTTCAGCTCCGGAATGATACGCGCGAGGATGGTCAATTTCCTAGCGACGTCTGCGCCATTCAGATCGTCTGCTGGATTGGGTTCCTGAGGACTGGCATTTGAGCACTGCGCAAACCCAGGTGAAAATAACACATACCGTATATCCCTGTGCTCGGGCTCCTTTGACTATCGACGAAAAGCTTTCATCGCTTCCCTCCACGGAAGAAAAGTTGTTGAAGATATAACTCATGGTCCCTGAGAAAACACCCTCGATCTTGACGACCTGATCGTGCGAAGTCAGCCTCCATCCATCGCACCTCAGCCACCCACAGACTCACCTTGTCCCCAGTCTCTACCAGATCTCTCAGCGTCGAGATGATAGGCAGCCCAGCACCCACCGTCGACTCATGCAAATACCTTCCACTCTTGCTCGCCTGCACAATACCCTGATACAACCCCACCTCACCCGAAAACGCCTTCTTATTCGGCGTAACCACATTGATCCCCGCACTCAACAACGCAGGGTACATCTCTGCAACGTCCTGCGAAGATGTATTATCGATAAACACAGCCTTCTCGCCCTGCTTCACGAGTTCCTGCAGCGTGTTTTTCACCGCAGAGAGGTCGACGGGTGTCTCGCTGGTTTTAAGTGCGTCCTTCCATGCTACGAAGTTGATGCAGAGATCTTTGGTGGGCTGGAGCATGCGCTTGGAAGAGGTAAGCGCTGCGAGCTGGAATCCATAGTTCGGGTTTGTGATCAGCTGTTCGACGACTTGGGTCCCGACACCTCCGACGCCCACCACAGCAACCTGTAGGTACTTTCCGGGTTCCATTTTCTGTGCGTTAGTGGTGTAGGAATATGAAAGGCGCGATCTGCGATCACGGAGGTGTCTTGGAAAAATGAAATCTCGATATTGATTACCGGTTCTGCCAATGATGATCACACTCCAGAGTTTTTGCATGACTCAGATGTTGATCGCAATCTGTTGCGCAAAAGTATCAGCGCTGCAGCAACTGAGCAATTCACAATTCAATGCTCGTGGCCATGGTTTACGCCCAAAAGTCAATGAATTCTATTGCAAATCACAATAAGGAGTGTACGGTTTGATATAGAGATGTTTAACGAGTGAAAGTTTTTAAGTAACGGTGAATCAAAGATGCACAGGCGGATAGTGCTAATGAGACGGAGAGTATGTATGTACATCAGCGCCTGTGCAGTGACGACTGGGTAGGAACGTATGGTAAAACTGTGATCGAAACTTAGTCAAAAGTCACGATACTCAGGGAAAAGCAACGCACACCCAGGCGAATTATACACTGGAAAATCGTGTCACATCATGAACAGAGAAGAAAGTAAGGGGCATAAAGAAGCACGCATGCTACGAAAATGTAAAGTGACTATAGCACATTTGGGAAAAGAAGTGAAGAGTTATGATGCGACGCGATAGTCCGAGAATGCGTGGGCTGAGTCGATATTGATACACCTTTGTATTTTCTAAAAAAAGAAGTATGGCTGCCACCAGAATCGGAAAAAGCATGGCAGCAGCGAGGGGAGTGGGAGAATGAAGTGAAACGAAATAGATAACCCGAGCACCCAAGAAATCGGGCTAAAAACACAAGTGGGTGCCGGGAAAGTATACGATACTAAGACCAAGGAAAAGGGAAATTGACGTGGATGAAAGGTAGAAGAAAAAGATGAGAATATCACAAGACGAGTCCCAAGATCCAAAAACACGCTCAGGGGTGGAAATACTAGGACCCCCCGAGGCCGATAGATAAATAAGCACGATCGGCTAGGAGTGGAGGGAAGAGGGGATTGGCGTGGCGTCATATACACAATACGCAGCGGGCAACACAAGGCTTAATGGTAATATTTTTGTCGTTTATGTAGTGAATAGTCTGCGCCTTGTGTTGCCTTTTATACAAGCCCGAGTGCTGTCGGGCAACCGAGATAATAAGAAATGCCGATGCGATGTTGCGAAAGCATGATGATGATGGAGCCGTGGTAGTGACACATTGAGGGGTGAAAAGAAATAGATAGAGAATGAACCGCCAGCGAGCGAGGTATGAATGTCGCCACTGAGCGGTGACCCAGGTGTAATAAATCTGGGGCAAGCTGCGAATGTGTCCTGTGCGGGTGACCATGACCGAAATAGACCGGATTATATGACAAGCAAGACAAGTGCAGAACGGCAAGTCCATTAGACAGGCGATGCCATAGAAACGTGGGAGCCAACAGCCCAAGAGAGAAGACCACAACGAGAATGTTGCCTGATGGAAGACTTCGAAAGGATAATGATATCGGTAAAAGAGGTATAAGACACTGCGCCACGGAAGATCACATCGTCAGAAGCAGGGTGTATGTCGACTTTTCGCGATGAAGGTGTATTAGGTTCAGTATACGTTCGGAGATATTCCGCGGCGAAAGGAAGGGGAGATTATGTCGGTGGTGAGGTGATATTAGTCTAGGGGCTGCTTGCCAATACGAAAATCTAAATCACTATTCAACAGATGTTTTACCCCAAGGATTAAATCACCAACCTCTACACTTGATGAATGTGATAGAAACGAAAATACCGCTCAAAAAGCGGGCGGAGGCAACTCGTCGGGGCTCGGCGAGTTTTGGAACACTGAACTCGCAAAGAACCCAGCCTTGTCCTTAACAGCGCGGGTGACGCTTGGTCCAACTGAACCAGGCTTCCTTGGCATGAAGCCAAACAACTTCTTCTGCTCCTCAGAAGCATCAGAAGTCGATGCCGTGTCCTCGTCCAAGGACATGTGAAAAATACCATCACTGGGCGTCCTGTAATGTTTGCGGGATGGAGACGGAGTGTTGCAGTTCAACCGCCCACCAAACGGAAACCCTGCGCTCGTATTGAGCGGTGCTGTACGGGGGCTTTCCTCAAATACAAGTTGCTGCCAGGTCCCAGCAGATCTCTCGCGAGTGGGGGTTGATAGAGGAGAATGATCATCATCAACATCAGTGGTGTCGTCACAAACTGGGAAATCTGCGGCAGAACCAGCGGAAATGCGCCGTGCGGTTCTGAGTGGTGCAGCAGATTGGCTCGGAGCTGAACGAGAGATACTGTGGCGAGTGGACTGAATATTAGATCTAGGGACAGGAACTGCTCGAATGGAAGGGGTAGGTGTGGCAATTTGCTGCGGGAAAGGGCGACGGCGACGAGCAGCGAGTTTTCCTGTAGGTTGAGATGACAGGGAAGGAGTTTGCAAAGAAGGATTCTTGGGCGTCAAAGTCATGGATGGAAGCGAGTTGTCCGAATCAGAATCGGAACTGACAACGAAGGGATCAAAAGAGTTGGATGCGGGATTGTTGTTGTGACGGCCAAAAGTTTGTGTCGAAGAAGTGGTACCCTCAGCCTGCGAGAGAATAGGTGGTGAAGGTTGACGGATGTTGCTGCGTCGCGCTTGCGCATTCGAAGAAGAGCTCCTAAAAAGGATGGTACTCAGAAATGTTGCTGAGTGAATACAAAGGGATATAATTGATTACCTCGTCGTTCCCTTATCTTTAGGTGCCTTGCATTGTCTACCTCGTACAGCCTTGTCCGGCGATGACGTAGCCGGATGAACAGCTAGCTTCGAGACAACATCGGGATGACTTTTCTGGGTAGGAGGCTTGGTAGGTTCATCGGATGACTCGGAAATTGGAGGCTGTGTTGCACGGCCCTGTGACTGAGGGACAAGCTGTTTCTGTTTCGGCTTTGGAGACCGATGCTGTTTCTGATGACTCTGAGGAAGCTGTTGATGATTACGAGGAGTTGAAGGTCGTGAAGGCTGCTTTGAAATGAAAAGCAAGCCAGGTGTTTTCGTGGCTTGAACTACGACTGCTGGAGGAGCCGAAGGATGACGACGATGTGAGATGTTAGGCGACATGAAGGGCGGAGGATGTGGTTTGTGAGCAAGAAGCATTTGGTTAAGTGTAGAATGTTGAGTGAAACGACGAATACGACGAGCGCAGCGACGACGAAGAGGTTGAGGGCGACGGCGACGACGATGACGAAGATGTGTGAGAGGAATAAAAAACGAGGATATCGTGGGATGACTGATCTTCGGCGGATGACACATGGAGCTCTTTTTGTTCTCCGACACCGCGCAGTAGTAACGCATTACCATATATAGTATTTTGTGACACTTTTCTATCATCTGAGTCTGAATATGTCCGTATTTAGAAGTTGTTTGTACTAGTTTTGAATCTTGTGTGCCTTCTTTTCTTGATTAGGTTGGCTTCCTTGTGCCGTAGATCCTCCGTATCTGCGCCTGCCACCGTGGCTTATTGCTCCTCTCCTTCTTGTTGTGTAGTCGTGCTTCGTGATCTTCCACTCAGTCCCCACTAAGATGAAGCCACAAAAGAAATAGAACAGCAGGTTCTATCACTATGGTTTGTAGTTGTAACTCAATACAATAGCCTATACCATACCACTAAAAGTGACTCGGAAGGGCGGTGACTCTCTTGTCATTGATCTCCTAGACTACAATCACTTGCACGCCCCTACCGTGCTTCCACATAATTGCGTTTCACACACCTATTGACGCAACCGCAACGTTGCTCACTCGAGGTTTTATCCCCAAGAACAATAATAACATCATTGTAGGCTGTATCCTCCTGTGTCCGCATCATATTCTTATCATTCCTTCCTGCAGCAGCGCTATTCTCGTATGTGCTAGCTGTGACTTTTTTTTTGTTTGGGCACACCTTACCCGGCATCCCCTTTCAAGTCTCCCCTGCAGGGCCGCTTTCACCTTTCTTGGACGCCTCGTTGCACAGATTCGTCAACCTTCTTTCATTATGAAATCTGCATGCATCACCTGCTGATATGAGTGGAGCTCGTAGCGTAAGTACTTCCCCGCCGTTCGGATTTCATCAAATCATATGAACGGAGGCGACACGCTCAAAGGCTGCGATGCCCTCACCTATTTCTACCGCGCCTGCCCCTACAAAGTTTAACACCTACTTACGCCCAACGTCTTCTGCCCTCGTATCAGCTCATATCAGCCTTCACTCCACGATAAGATGCTTTCTCTATGAAATGAACGCTCTCTTACAGCATCTCGGATAAGATCATGCTGTTCAGAATCGATCCATATCTAATGCTGCGCATTTATTTTCCTTCCGATCACGGCCCTTGTAAGAATCTGACGTAGGTCATAAAAACGATAGAAATGCGCTTTCATGTTCTACTCGGCAGGTGGGTGTGGAGTCACCGAAAGACATTAATGAGTATCAAAAATCAAGATATTCCTCGTCCCCCTAGGTACCTTCCGACGGTCTCTGCCGGTGTAATGTCCTTTTGCGAAAAAGTTTGTTTTATTCCGTCCTAAGATTGATCGCATTTACACTAGGCATATTCCAGTCGAATTGGATCATGTATCTCCCTGAAGCCATAGGGCCGTCGACCCTGGCTTTCCATTATCTCTCGCCAGCAATGAAGAAAGTTTAGGGTCAGTCGATATATGGCGGTCATCCCTGGCTTGGGGGCGAAGCATGTTTTGTACCAAGATTGCTCTGACTAATGAATCGTTTGCCGTGCTTAATGCGGGCCGGTATCACAATCTTCCTTCTATGAGGCCTGGCCAGAGGAGACTAGGCCCCTACTGATAAGAAGGTGTAACTTACAAACAGCCGTGCGAGATGGTATCATATTACAGCATTAGTTCTGGATCCTAGCCGGCTCAACGCATATCCGGGCGCAACACTGGACAGCGGAGAACTCACGAGGTGACACCTGGCACATTCAGTTGATCAGCGTGGATCAGCGTTTATAGTAAACTTAGCAACGCGGTAAATTCCATCGGCAAAATTGTCCGTGATCTTGGTCTACCTAAATATCTACAATTCGTCATGAGAATGCTGAAGATCCTCGCCCCCCGAAGCACCCTCGACGTCATCGTTGTGTGCTGGCTGAACCAACCCAACATTCGCAAGGACGTCCGAACGAGCGGTAGCAACACTCGAATGAATCTTGCCTTCGGCAGCCAGTCTGCCCGCGAATTGCGCAATCTCGCTGTCGTATTCCTCCCACTCAGGGATCCGCCTCGCACGAGACAGCTTTGGTTCTTTCTGTGAATCAACCAGGCGTCAGGAGAACGACTGATATGGTCTGGAAGGACTGACCGTAAGGGGGTTCTGGCACAAGTCGATGGTTTTGGCACGATGAAGGCGATCCGCGCCACCTGCACATAACATTCAGACGGTTAAGGGAGGGGTCTAGGGTGAATTTGATGACATACACCAGGTTTCACACTGCATCAGCCACGTCATCAGTATGATTGGAAGGATACTGAAGTTCAAGTCTACATACCCAAAGCCAGTCTTCATGAAGAGAGAACTAGTAGGAGTCAGTGACCTGTATCACTCAAATGCAATCTCAACTTACTATCGGCACGTCTCTTTGAATATTATTTGGCAGATCTTGGCTCGCATCAGTAGGTGTCCTCTCGAGACTCGCATAACTGACCTTGGTCCAAGTTAGCAAGGGAGTTTGGATCAGCCGACAGCATCTGGTATTGTCCACGGAGGATGTCCTGAAACCAAAATGTCACCCAAAATCCTCGGATGCGATAGAAGCCAACGTACTCCTGCAGCCATCTAAGGACCATCAGTCAGGGATCGTCATCAGGAGTGACACACGTACCTGGCGAAAACGGACGAGATCTACAACATACAGGGCACTGGAGAAGCATAAGATCGATTCAACATCGTGCAATCCACACATGAACTTACCTGATGTGATACGGACGATCACCCAAGAAGTCTTTCCAATATCCAGTTTTCCAGAACCGGAAACCTTCCATCTCGTAGTTGTCATCGCCCATGGGTGTATAGCCATATGGTGCGCCGTGCAAGTCGAGGTCAACCAGTTCCTGCAGATCCGCACGGACAATTTGGTCCGCGTCGACAAAGATGACTTTATTGAGGTCCATGGGAAATAGAACATCGAGGAAAAGAATCTTGTACGCCCAAATAATGCGCTGCTTTTCCTTCTGGGCGCGGAGCCAAGAAGGCCATTTATAAGTCACTAGCTCATACTGGAAGCCATATTCTTCGGCCATGTGTGGTATGAATTCCTGTAATATGGCAATGAGGCATGTTGCAAGCAATACGTCACGCCAACTGACCAAGAAAGAAGGCGATAGGAAGTTCTCGATGAACCAGAATTTCACAGTGCTATTTGTGTTGCGCAGCACGCTAAGAATCATGATGGAAGCGAAACGCTGAAAAGAGAGTTGTTGGAGGCATCGAGCGTTGCAGGCGGGGAAAGGGAGCGCACCTCATAGAGCAGCCCAGAAGCAACTGTGAATATGTTGATGTCCGCTTGTCTGGCGCCCGTCTCTGTGACTTCGGCCGTGCTTTTTGATTTGAAAAGAGATGAAACCCTAAAGTGAATTCAGGACCAATAAAAGCAGTAAGGAATGAAAGAACCACACACTTGGACAAGATGTCGTGCATGACGGTTTGGGAATGGCCTGACCGTTGCTGTAACCCTGCAAGCACATCCATCTTCTCCATGCCCGGCTTCCGTGACAGCCTTGGGTACAGGGTTAGCCCTTCAAAGCTCATCACAGTCAATTCCTCTCCAGAATCTTCCACAGAGGGACTATTCCACCCCTCACTCCCCACGCTGGCTATACCATACACATCACGGCCTCCTCCCTCGCGAATAGCAAGTTTAAATGTTCCTGGGCGAGTTTTAAACTGCAGGTAGCCAAGATTTGCGACAACCTGAGTGTCATCGACTACGGACGGAGTATGATTGACAACAGGAGATGAAGTGGTTAGTTGGAGCTGTACGCCCCGAGGAGGGTTATTAGACTCCGTCTCCCGTGCATGCCCTTCAACAACGAGGTAGTCAAGCGAGAAGAGAGCATGAAGGCCATCAGGTGGAAGTGTGCTCGGCTGAATGTTGTCGAGGTCGTAGAGAGCTTCTCGTGGGCGGACGAGCCACGAGGGGGGAACGTCCATGCCAAGAGTATATATCGGGTCTACAGACAGGCCGTTGAAGGTTACTTGCGCCGGAATCTCGTTACTAGATTGCTCCTCAGTGACATCACAAGGAGGAAAACAGACCCGCCCACCCTTTGTTGTCATATTGCACGCGAGGCTCAATACTATATCGGTAAAATCGTTTGAGTGGGATCTGTGAATCCGATTAGTTTGGTCAAGCGGCACGAAGGGATTTTGCACACTTCGGAATGTTGCGCTGGATTGAGGTACAATTCAAAGTACACCTCTGGAAAGAGCTCCTCGTGTTTCTACATTCACCTACATCAACTTGGGAAATCTACAGTCCCACGGCGGCTCACCTCCAAGATTGCGATCCACTTCTGTGCTCCTTCACTCAGGGGATCAAGGAGCAGCACAAGGTGGGTCAATGCATTCTCTCGATCGCCGAATTCAAATTTCCTGGAAAAGGATAGTTCATTCAACATGCCGCTTCAAGGCTGCATGCAGGTGAGGAAACACATACGTATAACTGCCCGATAAGAGTTTGTAATTACTAGTCCTAGCTCGAGGTGCGCTGTCAAACAATCCTGCTTCACTTGGATCTGGCTGTTGATCTGCATAGATAATCGACGACGCCACCGATACCAGGTTCGCATATGCAAACCTGTGTACACAAAATCCAATATCAGAACCCGAAAGCAGCGCAGATCAGGACCACTCACGCATTAAGCTCTGTGCCGTCGGCTAGAACCTCTTCAATAGCTTGCGCAACACGTCCAATTCGTTTCTTTATTTCATATGTCTCCAACGTCGCAAAGTCTTCGGATACGAACTCCGATTCAGGAGAGAAAGGACCGATGAGCTATGCATGAAGTTTTATTATCCACGTTGGACTGAAAACAAGAATGAGGAACGTACCCGGCCATTAACA